GCACCTGCCCTGTGCTCACACCGCACCGGCCCTGTGCTCGCACTGCGCTTGCCCTGAGCTTGCACCGCACCGGCCCTGCGCTCACATCGCAGCTGCCCTGCGCTCGCTTGCGCTGCCGGCCGCCTCGCAGCCGGGGCGTGAGGTTAGCGCCCATTAGCAGAGCCAACTCGCACCGTGCTCTGTTCTGCAGCTCTTCTCTTTAAAATATCATCAAAAAAACATCAAGAGAGCGAGAGAGAAGCCTGTGCTTCTCCACTGCCCACTGCTCTAATGGAGCGGCCACGAAGGGCTCCCACCAGCATATCTGCAGGCAGCCACAGCACCGGACAGACCAGCACCGTTCCGTCCGGGATGGCCCTGCCCTGGGGTGCCCCCGTGAAGCTGCTTGGAGCCCCCACCTCTTTGGCAGCCCTGCCACCCTGGGCTGCAGCTTGGACTGGGACCTGCAGCTCCCCACGCTCTGGACAGAGCTGAGCTCCTCTACGGCCCCCAAAGAGCTCTGTCCCCAGGGCAGTCCCCAGCTACCACAGGGAGAGGTAGAGTCTGCAGGGACAGGAGGGAGCGAAGGGGAACGGGGCCTTTCTGAAGTGACACGGTGGTGCCCGGGAGGAGCTCTGTCCATCGCTGCTGCGAGGGTGGCTCTGCCCACGCTCTTGGCACAGCCAGCACTCCCTCAAGGTCCCGGCACTTGTGGTCCCCAGGAAGAAATGCTGCTCTTTCCTTCCTGGCTATTATCACAGCCACAGGCAACGTGTGATTGCTGTAATCGATCCCGTAGCTGTCAGTGGCCTGGGTCCTCTCCTGACTTGCAATAGAGCTGCAGAGGTGGGAGGAACTGTCACTAAGCTCAGGCAGAGCCGGAGCTCCTGGGCGCAGCTCCCGGTCCTGGACGGGGACAGGGTTCAATGGCAGCTGAACCAGGCTGGGGTGGTCGTGGTTGAGAGCTGGCATGATGGGCTGAGTGCTGTGCTGTTGCCTGGATTGATGCTCCTTGCCCATGTCTGTCTGTGCCCACAGTTGGGAAGAGGATGGAGCTGCCTAGCCAGGTCAGCAGCTGTTAGCCAGGCTATTGCCCAGTTGTTTCTTCTCGAATTTGGAAGTTAAAACATCTCTATTTTCATTTTTTTCTTTCTGAGCTGGTATTTGGTGCTGTTGGGGCCTCCATAGCAAGCTGGCTGGCAGGGCAGGATCTGTGCTGCCTGCAGAGAGCTCGTGGGAGGCTGCTTGTCTTCTCCTGGGAGCTGTATGAGGGGCAGATGGGTTTCCCGGTTGTCCAAAGGCACCACCGAGAGGGCAGGTTCCTGTGCCCTCCTGGCACACCAGATACCACTGCTTCTAGCAGGAGGAAGGCGTTGTGGGAGAGGAGTCCCGAGCTGAATCTAGGAAATGATCAGTGAAAGTTTCCCCTTCCTGCGCGGGGATGCAAGCCGGCTGGCGCGGCACCCAGAGAGCCCTTCATCCCGCACTGCTTAATCCTCCTGAGCGCCTGCCCTGCCAGGCAGCAGCCCTGTGCTCCTGCACCGGCTCGTGGCCTCGGCACGGAGGATCCGGAGCCCCTGTGGCTCCTGCTGCGGTTCTTGCAGGACACACTGTCATCAACCCCAGACAGGCCTCTCTCCGAGCAGATGTCACTGGGATTTGAGACCCGGCCACAATGCAGGGCCCTGGGGCTGCTGTGTGAGGAGTGTGCGCTCTGCAGCACACATAGCAGCAGCAGCAGTGTTTCACCTGCAGGCTGGGCGGGAGGAAGCAGCTGTGTGTCAGGGAGATGCTAGGTTGGGTGTCGTGTGTGACACTTGCTCGTGCCGATGCTGGAACCTCCAAGGATGTGAGACCTGGAGGAGCACTTGGAGGGGACATGGAGGGGACGTGAGACCTGGAGGGACACTTGTAGAGACCGTCCGTGCTATGCTGTCCCACACGTCTAAGGCTGCCCTGCGCTCCCAGCGCGGAGCTGGGCTGCAACTCTGCCCTTGCACAAGCCCTGCTGGATCCAGCCAGCATGCCTGGCTGCATGAGCCCATGGGAGCTGCCAGCAGGACGGCACTGGCTGGATCTGCTGGAACAGCTCTGTGTCCTGGGAAGGGACCCAGGCACCGCTCACCTGGGCAGAGGAAGGGACCGCACTCTGCCCCATGGCAGGATCATGCCCCATGCGGGGGTTCTGCCGCATGGCGGGGACCTTGCCCCTTGTTGGGCCGTGGGGCCCTGCAGCCTCTGCGCCCTCTCTGGAGCTGCGCAGTTGACTCCCTGCTTTTAATAGAGAGCTGGGAAGGCACATTATGGAGATGAGGGTGTTATTTGCATAACGCTAATTAGGTAATTACAAATCATTTTGCTATGAGCTGGAGCGTGTGCTGTGACATAACGTTTATTAGTCATTCCATTCAGGCCCCGCTTAGTTAAGTCATTTAGTGCACTAACTACTGAAGTTGGCAATAAAAGGTAGGTGCTGGTGGCCGGCTGCGAGGAGGGGCTGGGGCAGCCCCGGGGCCATGGGCCGGCACTGCGTGGGTCGCGGCAGCGCCTCGCAGCAGCCGCGCGGCGCCCTGCGCCGGCACCGCGTCCGGCCCCGCTGCCCCGGGCTGCCGGCAGAGCCACGACCGCCAGCGCCAGCGCCTGAACCTGCCCTCCGGCCGGGCTGCTCCTGCTCCTCACGGTGCCCCAGCGTGAGCACCCCGGCACCCACGGCATTACCGGCCAGCAGGCGTCAAGCCAGGAGGCCCCAGAGCTGACAACGGTGTCGCCGTCTTCCCTGCACAGCATCCCCAGATTTCCTGTTTAGGGAAGGAGGCTGCATGTGCCAAGGGTGCATGCCCAGTACAGCTGGCATCAGGATGGCCCGAGGGGCCGGCGTGCGCGGAACTCTGCGTGCATGCACCCTTCCTCTCGACCCACGCTGTGCTGCCCTTTCTTTTCCAGAACCAGATGAGCCATTTGAGTTCATTATCGTTTCCCTGACGGGTCAGACATGGCTCTTTGAGGCCTCCACATCGGAGGAGCGAGAGCTTTGGGTCCAGGCCATCGAGAGCCAGATCCTGGCCAGCCTGCAGGGCTGCGAGAGCAGCAAGAATAAGGTAGGTGGCCTTGGCCGAGTTCTGCTTCCACCCTTCTGCTCCAGCATCTGCCTCGCTGCACCCTTCCTTATCCCACTCCTTCTTCTGGTGTGGGTCCTGAGGCTCTTGCTCCCCAGAGTCCTGGACCCTGCCCCAGGAACCCAACAGTCCCACTCCAGACTCACCTGGCCCCTAGGCAGCTTCAGCCCTGTTGCACTCCTTGTTCCCAGCAAGGGCTGGATCCCCTGTGCCTGCATCTCTCCTTCAGCCTCGCATCCCTGCTCCAGTCCTGCATCCCCACTCCAGTCCTGCATTCCCGCTCCATCCCCACTCCAGCCCTATATCCCTACTCCAGCCTGCTCCAACTCTGCATCCCTGCTCCAACCCTGCTCCAGCCCTGCATCCCTGCTCTGGCCCTGGATCCCCTCTCCAGACCTGCATCCCTGCTCCAGCCCTGTTCCAGCCCTGCTCCAGCCTTGCATCCCAGCTCCAACCCTGAGCCAGCTCGCACCCCTCTGCATCACCGTGCCCCCGGGCCGTGGGTCTCCTGCAGCGGGTGCCTCTCATATTCCCTGGCACAAGGCCCCAGTGTCCCCAGGCTGGCTGGGGCCCGGGGGCTGTGGTGACAGCCACCAAGTTCTCTGCTTCTCTTGCAGGCTCGTCTGGGCAGCCAGGGCGACGCGCAGGCCATGCAGGCCGTGCGCACGGCGCGCGGGAACAGCTTCTGCGTGGACTGCGATGCCCCGAGTGAGCAGAGCTGCTGCGCGGGGCCGGGACGGGGGCAGCACGTCCTCTCACATTCCCATACCGAGGGGCCCTGCTGGGCTCCCTGCTCTCTTCTGGGGACCCATTTTGGGGATGGGGGGTGTCCTGCCGCACCAGGGCCCTGCGCTGCCACTCACAGCCCCTCGCTGGCCAGCCCCATGTGGCCCCCGGTGCTCAGGAGTGCTGGGTGGGAGGGAAGTCAGGTAGGTCCCTGCAAAGCTGGTGGCGAGAGGGGCCTGGCCATGCTGCCATTGACCCCCATGTGTCCCCTGAACCCGCAGATCCCGACTGGGCCAGCCTCAACCTGGGCGCCCTCATGTGCATTGAGTGCTCGGGCATCCACCGGAACCTGGGCACCCACCTGTCCCGCGTGCGCTCCCTCGACCTGGACGACTGGCCCAGCGAGCTGCTCACGGTGATGACGGCCATTGGCAACGCGCTCGCCAACGCCGTGTGGGAGGGCGCCGTGGAGGGCTACCCCAAGCCCACCCCGGAGAGCAGCCGGTAAGGGCGAGCGGGGCCACCGGGGCTCCAGGGCTGGAAGCCAAGTGGGGAGGAGGAGGAGGCCCCTGGAAGAGGGCCGGGAGATGCTGGGGGCTCCTGCCGTGCCTGCGGGGCAGCTGTGGCCGTGGCCAGGGCGCAGCTGAGCCTGCCCGGCTGCTGCGCAGAAGGGGTTAACAGGCAGCTCGACTGTGTCCGCAGGTCTCCAGGGTGCGTCCCTTTCAGGCCCTTGTCTGTCCCCATCCAGCGGCCCACTGTCACTCATCCCAACAAGAGCCCTTTCTGCAGCTGAGCGCGATAAGCGCGGGTCAGGGCGGGCGGCGGGGAGCTCCGCGCGCCGCTTTGATGGCCGCGCGCCAGGTGCAGATGGAGAGAAAGGCAGCAGATAGCGGCGGCGCGGCCACATCAATCGCGCCCGCGGCCCCGGCGGGACGTGCCTGCCGGCGCTTTGTGCGCACCAGGCGAGACGGCAGCGCCGATAAGGGCCTCCCGTGGCCCCTGCTGCTGCCAGCCTTTTCTGCCGCTGTCCGAGGCCTGCGCACGTGGGACGGCCATGGCCCCGCTGCCCGGCAATGGACAGGCAGCGAGTGGCTGCTGGGGCACTGCTGCAGACACTCGTCTCTCCGCTGCAGCAGGCACAGGGTGGGACAAAGTTGCTGCACATAGGGACGGACTGGCCAGCACACAAGTGTGTGCCATGGGATGAGTGCGGGCAGAGTGCAGGAGCAACGTGCTGCAGCGGGATGCGCACGCAGTTCATGCTGGGAGCAGTGCGATAAGTCTATGGTTCATGCCAGGAGCAGCATGTTGCAGCACCCGTGCAGCAGTGCCCGTTGTGGGACGAGCACTCTGGCTGTGCTGGGGTAGGGTCCTGCCCTGCCCAGTGCAGTATCTGCAGCAGGCACCAGGCAGCAGCACCATGTCACATCTGTGCAGCCCATCCTGCTGCATGCGTGGGACATCCATGGGGCTGGGCAGCCTGGTGCCCCCCGCGACAGCAACCATGTCCCACCTGACAGGGAGGAGAAGGAGCGCTGGATCCGGGCCAAGTACGAGCAAAAGCTCTTCCTGGCGCCACTGCCGCTGTCAGACATTCCACTGGGGCAGCAGCTGTTGCGGGCGGTGGTGGAGGACGACCTGCGCCTCGTGGTGACGCTGCTGGCCCACGGCACCAAGGAAGAGGTGAATGAGACCTACGGCGACGGGGATGGCCGCACGGCCCTGCACCTCTCCTGCGCCATGGCCAACGTGGTCTTCACGCAGCTGCTCATCTGGGTAAGGCAGAGCCCTGTGTCTCCTGCCCCTGTGTTCCCTGCTGCAGGTCCCTGCCCGTGTCCCCTGCACTGCCTATCCTGCCCACGTCCGCCACAGTGGATCCCTGCAGGAGCCACTGCCCAGTGTGCCCATGTGCCCTGCAGCAACACCAGCCCCTGTGTGCCTTGGAGCAGTACCGGTGCTGTGTCCTCTGCAGTGGCATTGGTGCCCGTGTGCCCTGCAGGAGCACCCCTGGTGCTGTGTGCCCTGCAGCAGTCCCAATGCCGTGTGCCCTGCAGCAGCCCCTGTGCCCGCGGCCCTGGCCGCCCTGACCGCCTCTCTCCGCAGTACGGCGTGGACGTGAGGAGCCGAGACGCACGGGGGCTGACGCCGCTGGCCTACGCGCGGCGGGCCGGCAGCCAGGAGTGCGCTGACATCCTGCTGCAGCACGGCTGCCCCGCGGACGGCGCCGGCCCGTCGCTGACGCCCAGCCTGCCGCGCCGCAACGCCAACGCCAACAACAACGCGGGCGCCGACCTTGCTCCCACCGCCGCGCCTGTCTAGCCCCAGCTCCACGGCTGCTCGGGGCAGCGGGACAGCCCCGTGTACAGGGTACAGCTTCGCCCGTGTCCGCTGTGGCACTGTGGGTGTCCCCACACCCCATGGCAGTGCAGCACAGTGCTCCCAGTGCTCCACACAGCACGGACAGCAACGGGGATGCGGATGGCACTGCCGAACTCAGTGACCGTTGCCGCTCCGCTGCACATCCCGACGGACCTGGCATCTGCGTCAGCCCGGCATGAGTCCCAGCTGTCCGTGGGGTCTCCATTGGCACCCACCACAGGCAGGACTGGCAGGACTGCACAGCAGCTGGGCCATCCCGAGGCCGTGGAATGGGCCACCGCGGAGGACCCATCCCCTGTGTATAAAATGTACATTGGAAATATTTATATGGACACTCTGTATATACGGTTCCTTTGCCTTGAGTTGCCCATGTGTGTGACCCGCAGCCAATAAAGCGCCCACTCCGCCAGCCGGCCTCATGCACTACCTCCGCGCCGCCCACACCTGGTCCCACAGCGGCAGCGAGCAGGATGCAGGAGGTGGGATGCAGGAGAGCCGTGCACAGAATGTGCACAGAAAGGAGGTGCCCTTGCTGCTGGAAAGGCAGACTGGAGAGCCGTGATGGGGAATGGGATGGGATGTGGGCAGCCGCCCCTTGCACCAGCTCCATCTCACACTTGTGGGTCTGCCTGGGACCTGCCCTGAGCTGCCCCAATCCCCTGTCTGGGCAGCAATGCAAGTGCACTGGGAACCACAGGCACCAGTTTACCCCATGCCACGTCTGCCCCCTTGTGCTGAGCCCTCCTGCACTCGTGGCATGCCACAGCCACTCACCAAGCACACGCACTGCACGTGCTGCAGGCATGCAATGCACAATGCAACACACAGATAACATATGGAATGCGTAAAGCCTGCAGATGCAGGGCGCACACATCACACATGCAGTGCACACGTGCCACAGCGTGTTCTTGCAGTGCACACAGTGTGTACTACACACCACACATGTAATGCGCATACATGTACACACACTGCACATGTACCACACGCAAGATGTATGCACACTATACATGGAGCACACACATACCATACTCAGTGTGCACACATGCCCATGCAGCACACATACAATGCACATGCAGAGAGCACACACAGTGTCCGTGCACATGTACATGCAGAGTGCACACACAGTGCCCATGCACGCACAGAGTGCACACACAGTGCCCATGGACACACCCAGAGAGTGCAGTCAGTGCCCATGCACATGCAGTGCCCATGCACACACACACAGAGTGCAGTCAGTGCCCATGCACATGCAGTGCCCATGCACACACACACAGAGTGCAAACATAGTGCCCATGCACACTCACCGTACACACCCTCAACGTGCCTGGCCCACTCTGCGCAGGCCCAGCCCGGCGCGGGGTTTGCATGATTTCCTGGCGACTGCATTAGCGGGAAGGGAAGCCGAGGGACGGCAGCTCCTCTGGGGCCCATTAATCATCCCCCTCAGACAAGCTGCCTTGATTACAAGTGGCAAGAAATTCATTAGGGCTGCGGCTCTGACAACTTTTATCTGCGCGGCTGGATCTGACTCATTAGGCAGCCAAATTAAAGCCATGATGGGCCCTGATGAAATTCACTGCTTGTTTATCTTGTGCGATCTGATACATCTGCCCATACATCATCCCCCATGCAGGATCCCGCCCGGCCCGGCCCTGGTGCCTCCCTTCCCATCCCGGCCGGCCAGGCCATGGCGCCCTGCAGCACTAGCCCTGGTGCACGTGACCGCGGGGGCCAGCGTGCACGGCCACGTGCACCTCACAGCCCTAGGAGGGCCTCACGGGTGGCTGCACACACTGCGGTGGCAGCGGCTCCAGGTACCCATGCAACCATGTGCGTGTCCTGGCCCTGCACATGCATCATGGCTATGCGTGCACAAGCTCAGCCCTGCGTGCACATTGCAGTCCTGCATGCAGGGGAATCCTGCCTGTGCCAGGGACTGGCAATCCCAGTGCCTGGGGACTGCAGGTTGGATGAGGAAGGTGCAGACACCCAGGGAGCCCACGCAGCACCTGAAAGCAGAGCCAGAGCCTGGCAGCCAGAGCCACTGTCATGTGGCTCCGCTGTCCCTGTGCTGGTGGCACCGCTCTGCTGTCCCTGTGCCACCGCCAGCACTAGGAAGAGTGGCTGAGACCCCGGAGGGCTGTGCTGCCATTCAGAGGGACCCGGGCAGCACGCAGACATGGGCAGAGAGGAGCCTTGCGAGGTCCAACAAAACAAAGTGCAGGGTTCCGCACCAAGACAGGAACTCAGGCCCCAGTGCCTCTTGGGCTGACCTGCTGGAGAGCAGCTTTGCAGAGCGAGACCTGGGAATCCTGGTGGACAACGAGGTGGCCGTGAGCCAGCAAAGCACCCTTGCAGGACAAGAAGCCCAATCGTCCCCTGGGCTGTGCTGGCAGCAGGTGAAGCAGGGGGGTGACCCTATCGCTCTGCACAGACCCAGGGAGGCCGTGTCTGCAGTGCTGGTCCAGGGGGACCCCTGGGACAAGAAGGACATGGAGCTCCCACTGAGAGTCCCATAAAGGAGCAGGGAGGGGATGAAGGCACCGGAGCATCTCCCACAGCAGAGGCCAGGAGAGCGGGGGCTGTTCTGCCTGGGGAGGAGGAGGCTCAAGGGGATCTTATCAATGTATGCAAATACCTTAAGGTGGGATGTCCAGAGGATGGGGCCAGGCTCTTCTCCGTTGTGCCCAGCAATAGAACAAGAGGCAACGGCTACAAATAAGCACAGGAAGTTCTGCCTGAATTTGAGGAAAAAAATTACTTTCAGTGAGAGTGATAGGGCACCAGAGCAGGCTGCCCAGAGAGGTTGTGGAGTCTCCTTCCCTGCAGATCTTCCAAATCTGCCCAGGTATGACCCTGTGCCACGTGCTCTAGGTGATCCTGCTTGTGTGTGTATGTCGGAGGTTGGACTAGATGATTGCCAGAGGTCCCTGTCAACCTCAGCCCTTCTGTGATTCTTTCCCTCTCTCCTGCTCTGCCAGAGCTCAGCTCGGGGACTGGCACCTGCCATGTATTGGCAGACCCCACCTCACGTGTTCCATTTGCAGATGCTCTGTGTCCTTCTCTGTACTCCCTTCCCAAAGGGGTGCACAACCCTTGCAGGTCCCTGCAGCCTTTTTTCCATCACAGTTAGGGCTTGGGCTCCCTTTGCAGATGTGGGAAGTCTTTGGGAACTATTGGATGATAAAATAGTTAGGAACACCCTAAAACTGGACCTTGACATCTCATCCCTTTGGCTGTCTGGCATTCCATAACAGTTTCTCTGTCATCCTGGGAAATCACAAGAACTGTTTCCCTTGGAAATGCCCTCAGCTGTTCTTGCTTCATGCAGTGCTTCCATCAGTCTCAGCTCTCTCCGCAAGAGCCTGTGCTGGGTCTGATGTGTCCTTGGGACAGGAGCTCAGCAGAGGCTTCTGGAGGAGACAGAGGTCATGACTCTGCAAGACCTGCAATCCTGGGTAACAAGGAAGCATCATCCGCTGCAATCCCATGAAGCCCTTTGTACCAGCTCCCCAACATCCAAGCTAGCAGAGCACTGCAGCATGGACACTGGTCCGTACCCAGGTTCAGGTGGGTGAACTCTGCAGAAGCTCCGTCAGGAGTTTGCAGGCTACTGCACTGGCCATTGCAACATCCCCTGCTGCAACTGTGCAACATGAGGCGCAGCAGAGCTGGCAGGGAGCAGCTGAGTGGTCTGGGAGCTCATGACATTCCCAGCTAGCCGCAGAGCAGGAAGGGAGGTTGCCGATCCCATTCATGTGCAGCCAGAAGCCCTTGCCCTGTACAGGGGTGCAGGTTCGTGGCACTGCAGGAGTTGTATAGTGATGGCACTCATACACCATGGTGCAATCCATGGGATACAGTCTGGGCAGCAGGGAGCCTGACCTAACACCTTGCTGCAGGCTGAGCACAGGCACCTCGGCTGGGCACTTCTGGGGAGTTGCTGTCAGGGACAGCACGGAACAGCAGGGAGTCCCCATGGCACAGCATGGAGCAGAGCAGCATTCCCTGCCCTGCACAGCATGGAGCAGCATTCCCTGCCCTGCACAGCACAGAGCAGAGCAGCATTCCCTGCACTGCACAGTACGGAGCAGCATTCCCTGCCCTATATAACATGGAGCAGAGCAGCATTCCCTGTTCTGCACAGCACGGAGCAAAGCAGTATTCCCTGTCATGCAGAGCATGGAGCAGCATTCCCTGCCCTGTATGGCATGGAACAGAACAGCGTTCCCTGTCCTGCACAGCGCTGAGCAGAGCAGCATTCTCCACTCTGTCCCAGCTGCTCCTCGCTGTGGTGACATCGTCCATCACAGCTCCCATTGCACGCACTGCAGTTTCACTCTTTAAAGCCAGGCACAGCAGCAGGACCTAGAGAACTTCTCAGAGCCGCTTGTAGATCATCCAGTCAGGGAATAGTTGGTTCATGAGCAGCAACAGCAGCACTGTATGGTGGCTGCTCAAGTCTTCATAGCTGCCCAGTGCTGGAGAATGCTCTGAACCAGCATTGAAGAATTGTCTGGAAAGGGGACTCCTGAGCCGGTAACTCCGCTGTGGGCTGCGATCACCATTCCTTTCCTAGCTGTGTGAGAAGCATTCACCAGAGCAATGAGCAGGAAAGGTCTGAGTAGAGGGAATTTCATTGTAAGTGAGAGAACTGCCTTTGTGACAGGCAAACAAGACTAGTATCCTTATTTTGTATATAAATATACACACACACATACACACACATATATATATAATATGTGCCTTATATGTGTGTGTATATATATATAATATATGTATATATACATAAAAATGTGTGTGCATACATGAATGCATGTCTATGCACATATATCTATATATCTATAGATGCCTTTTGCATTGAGCAAAATGGTGTGTGTCCACATGCATCTGTAAGTAGGGGAAAACCTATCGGTCCTGCTCCAGGTCACCAGACAACAGGACAAGCTGGAATATCTGAAGTTCCCAATAGCTACAAGGAAAGAAGAATTAAAAGGAAAGGAGGTGGTCATATCAGGCAGCGGAACTGGGGCCCAGAAAAGTTGTGGGTTCTCTATCCTGAGCGATGCTCCATCAGCCGGGCAAATTCCTTGGCTCCCCGATTCCAATGGACCCTTTGAGTGAGGACCCGGACCAGTGACCTCGAAAGACCCATCCCAGCTTCCTGGCTCTGCCATACAACCACTGCAGAGCTTCACTGTATCCAGGCTCTGGGACTCATTCAAGTCAAAAAATACGTTCCTTAATTCTCAAAGAAATGTCTCAAAGTTTGAGAACTTTTGGTTCTCAAATCCTGGCTGTGATCCGTGTGCCAGCACGTGTGTGTCCAGGGTGTGGCACCGCGCATGCGGCCAGTGCAGGGGTAATTCGTACCAAGATAAAATGGTGTGGGATTGGGATGCATCAAGCTACATGAAGACACAACACTTGACCAGAAATGCCCACCACTGGAGTGAGGGAGAGCAAGGAGGCTGGCGGTGTAACCTAACCCGAAACCTAGCTCCTTCCAATGAGGTTAGGAGCGCTTCTCAGAGCACTGTGCTTATTCGTGCACGGAGCTGCGAGCGGCCGAGCACCGGCAGCAGCAGAGGCACAGACCCCTCGTGTGGTCACATCAGTAGTGACAGAGCTGGGCTCCCAGCAGCACCGCTGCTCCGCCAGACCTGCAGCCCCACAGGTGGCTGCCGCGTGGCAGAGACGAGTCCAGTTCTCCTGCTCTGGTCTGCGGAGGAGGCACCTGCATGAGGGTCCTCCATCACAGGCAGCTCCAAAACTGCACGTCCAAGGGGAATGGCCTGTATCCAAGGGCAGGACACCAGAGATTGGTGCCAGCAGGCATCTACCTCCCCCATGCAGTGCAAATGCAGCAGACACTGACACGGGAGTAGCCCAAGCCCATGTGGGAGCTGCTGAGCAACACCAGGCCAGCAGGTCCTGGGGTATTTGGCAGCACTGGCCCTTGCTTCAGGAGGGTGGTTCTGTTGTGTTGCCCAAGCAAGTGCTGGCAAAACTTGGCCATGATCCTGCCATCTGCCTCAGGTCTGAGCACCCATCTTCCTGGAAAACAGGCACCTCCTGGGCATTTTAGTGTGTGGCCTTGCCCAAGGGTTACTCCTCACTGAGCTGCATTGCCCATGTAGGCCAGGACGCTTGGGGCAGGAGAGCCTCCCATCAGAGCACTGAGGCAGCCTCCCCACCACAACTCGATGTGCAGTCTGGGCACGGGGCCGTGCTGCAAGGACGAGGACAAGCTTGACACAGGGTAGGAGTCATGGGGAGAGGGAGTCTCCTCCAAGCAGGCAAGATGGACCTGCCCTTGCTGTGGCGTCTAGGAGGGCCTGCGTCCAGAAGGATGAGGTCAGCACCGGCTACCAAGGCTTTCTCCCACTCTTAAGGAGCTGTTAGGGCTAACAGAGGTGTCACCTCACTGTCCGCATGGGCTAGGCAATGGTCCCCAAACCTGCAACAGGCTTTCACAGCTGGACATCCAGTTAGACACTGCTGAGCCAGGCTGAGCTACTTCGGCCAGTGCAGGACGGGTGCTCATCACACTGGCATGGGGCAAAGTCATGTGAGATGCTCCTTGGCTTCAGAAGCAGCATGCAATCGGTCTCACAGGAAAATTATTCCAGCCTGGCTAGGCTGCAGGTGACAGCTCCTCATCAGGGACACCTATTACCCCTGCATGAGTGCAGATGGGGACCCAGGTTGGGAAAGGAGACCCACTGTCCGTAGGTCTGATGCTCTCTCTGCTTCACTGCTGCATTAGCCCGAGCAGCACCACGGCCAGAGAAGCAGATGCTGGCGCCGCAGTGGTCACACCAGTGGGGCACCCAAGACATGGCAAGGCTCTTTGCCTCCTCTCCATTCAGCTGTGGCATGATGAACTCAAGGCAGAGTTACAAGGAGCACGAGCTCTCATCTCTATCCACTCCCCTTGCAGGAAGGGCCTGGAGGGTCACTTGGAGTGGGAAGGAGGAATGGCTTCAGGGCAGGGCTTGTCCAGTGGGTAGGGTGTCTGCATGGCGTGGAGGGCCTGGCAAGTTTGGGGCAGCACTGCACAGGTGCTGGTGGTATGTGGGGGATTCAGGTGTATTGCACCGGGCACAGGATCGAGGGGCAGGTGTCCTACTGCGGTGGACAGAGGCTGGAGCCAAGGCAGGGGCCTCTCCTCACCAGAGGCTTCTGTGGGGCTCAGCCTCCAGCGAAGGCAGGAGAGGTTTGTGGGGCCAGTCCTGTTCCCGGGACCAGCAGGATGGGAACACAGGACATTGCCCAGGGTGGGAGGTGTAGGGGACACGGGTGCCCCCGACTCCTCCCCATCTCCCCGCCAGCTGCCCAGCCGGGGCGGAGGGAGATGCTGGGCGCCCCATCCCAGTCCATATCGGTGAGCGGCACCAGGGAAGCCCCTCGCCTCGCTCCATAGAAAATAATTTATTGAAATCACAGCTATACACGGGCGGGCGGCGCCTGGGGCTGCCGGCGGCCCGCGCTCCCCACGGCACAGGCAGGCGGACACGCTGCCTTATGTACAGACTTTACATGGAATAAATAAGGGACATGTACAGAGGAGCGAAAGCGGTCACCCGGCCGAGCCCCCCGCGCGCCGGCCCTGCCTGTGGCCGAGGCGGCGGCCAGCGGCCCCCCCCACCCCTGGGTCCGTGAGTCCCGCTGCGCTCAGGGCCGGGTGCCCTGCTCGATCTGCTGGTGCTGGCTGCGCACGGCAAAGCGGTTGACGTGCACCGGGATGGGCACCACGATCTTGGGGTTGCGGACGGGCTCGCCTGAGCGGTTGCTCACGTTGCCTGCCTTGATGCGTTTCCACTTGGCACGGCGGTTCTGGAACCAGATCTTCACCTGAACCTCACTGAGCTTCAGGGCATGTGCGATCTGGGAGCGCTCCGTGAGGCTCAGGTACTTCTTGCAGTGAAACTCCTTCTCCAGCTCCAGCAGCTGCTCGCTCGTGAAGGCCGTGCGCCGCCGCCGGCTCTTGCCGGCCCCGGAGCCCGGCGGCGCTTGCTCGGCCGCAGGGCCGCCCTTGCCCTTGCCCTTGGTGCCCAGCGCGCCGCCGGTTGCGCCGTCCAGGAAGGGCTCGTCCTCGCTGTCGCCCGCCGAGCTCTCCTCCTCCCGCTCGCTGCAAGGCGTCGCCGCTGACTTCACCTCCAGCTTCTCCTCGTCTGAGCTGTACGCCTTCCCATCTGCAGGGCACACAGCATCAGCGCCCGCTGGAGCGGCCCCCGCGGCTCCCCGCACCGCGAAGCCCAGCCCGGCCGCCCCTGCCACCTGTGGACTCCCCACACAGCAGAGCCGCTGGAGCCCCGTCCGCACCCGGCCCTGGGTGCCCGTGCCGTGGGACCATGGGGGTGGCTGGGCCAGCGGGGGGCGGGGGGCACCCCATCCCTCCCCCGGCAGTGGCCCTACCCCGGCAGTGGCACCAGGAGTGCTGGGCAAGGGGCAGGTCCTGCCCTGCTGCTCTCCCTGGCCCAGCACTGCGTGTCCCGCGCTGCCCAGCTGCACAGAGCAGCCCCACAAACACACCTCACCCCGGCTCTGAGCCTCCCCAGCTCCTCGCACCGCTCCATCCTGAAGCTGGGCAGCAGTGTCACCACCTCCCCATCTGGCAGAGCACACTGCTGTCCATCCAGAGCTTGTCCAGACCTTCGCTTCCTTCTCAGTTCAACCCTCCCTCTGACCCATCCCACCAGGGTGCTAGGAGCTGAAGGACTTCCCAGGAAAATGCAGCCTGGCTCAGTGTCATCCCAGCAAGCTGTCTCTGCAGGACCCTGTAGGCTGTGGGGTGTCCTGCTGCTCTCCCTCTCTAGCCCTGGCTGCACAGAGCTGCTTCACGGATGGGCAGATCGGCTGGGCAGGCAAGGGGCTGCCATCAGCACCCAAAGATGGGACCCCAGCCCAGGCCACCCAGAAGGAGGCAGCACTTGGGCCACAGTAGACAACTCTGCTATGACAGGAACTTGAGGAATGAATCTTCTACTTGCCAGCTTCTTTTATTCCAAAGTAGTCTCTAAAGGGCTAAACGCCCATGGAGCAAGGGAAGGAGAGAACTGTGAGGAAGGAGGCCTGGAATCCAGTCACTTTTTCAGTAGAAGCAACTTAGCAAAGGTCTTACAGGGTGAGATGCTCTGGGTCACAGAGGGGTCTAGTTAAATGAGGACCCTCAGCTACACATGAGCTGATGAAATAGCTGTCCATCTTGCTGAGACCTCCAACCCCACTACATTCTCCAGGTGTGACTCACAGATGGGAACTGCTGCTTGAAGGAACAGACCCTGAAGCACTGAAAGGTTCAGTATGACCCTACGTAGAGAAGGAGCAACAGCAGCTCTCCAAGCCTCTGAACAGTGTTCAGTGGCAGCTGGGCTGCTGCAGCTCCTGCTGTCTCACCTCTGCTCAGAAGGGAAAGCGGGACAGCTCTCAGTGATAAGGATGTAGGGCTGAAAACACCCAAGGACCAATTGCAAGAAGATGCTTAAGCCCAGGTGTCATTCTTACAAGATGGTCATCGTGGAGCTCCCCCATACCGCACTGGTGCTGTAGCAGGTCTGCCGCTTCTGGAGGATGGATAGATGACTGCTGAGAAAAGGAATTATGTGCCTGCTCCTCCTGCTCCACACAGCAGGAAGGAGCACCTCCATCCGGTGCTACAGAACAAACACCCTTTTCCTGAGGGCCCTTGGAAGAGGGCTGAGAGAAGGAAGAGGTCTCCCACAGACAGACAGTCCTGCTGCACAGGAGGTGCAGCAAAGCTGTGCTTGTGCTGCTGAGGGAGCAGCAACTGGCCCCAGGGAACACTTGGCTGCCAATTGTCTCGAGCAAGCACTGCCTCTGCCCACGAGCAGGAGAGCTTTCCAGGGGGCGTGAGGCCTTGACAGGACAGAAGAGCTCTTATGAGGACATCCGTATCTTCACCAAGACTGATCATGGGCCCTGCCCTGAGCCTGCTCTCCCTAGGGACAGGCAGGGCATCGCAGCAGCCATGCTCACAGGCAGTGCAGGTTGCTCTCATAGGTCTGGTTGGAAGGTTGGACTAGATGATCTCTAGAGGTCCCTTCCAACCTTGAATATTCTGCGATTCTGTGGTTCATGTCCCCCTGGAGACTGGAAGGAGGCTGAGCTACCAATTGCAAAATGTCACCTCAAAAGTATCTATGGGTACACTTGGGTACATCTATGGGTACACTATCTGTGGGTACACTTGTCTTAATCAGAACACAAATTTTAAATAGTGTTTAAATTGCAGATTTGTGCAGATTAAATTGCCTAACATTTGTTTCTTATAAAAGGGGTGGGTTTGCAAGGAATCTGGTGATAGAGTTTAAAACAGGTTTTTACAAAGAAAATTGGTATCTTAGTCTGTTGACTTCCTGGTACTTCTTCAGCAAGGAAGCAATGAAAGTAGTGGAAACCAGCTGCCTAGTGGGAAGGTTTACTGAAGCTTCCAGAGGTCTTCATCAAGAAGCAAAGTATTTATCATGAAGCAAAGTACTGCAAAATTGAAATATCAACAGAAGTAAATGGGTGAAGAATAAGATTGATCCACCACTTTGCTCTTCACAAGTCCTAGCTGTTTGGTGGTCTTACTGCAGAAATGGTATGGATGGTGAGAAGAGGCAGATGAGCATGAAGTCAAGATAAAGTAGGATCAGCAGGACTTAGATCAACAGCCAGAAAAGACCAGTGCTGGTAAACAGACAAGAGCTCTTTCATGTATTCATGAGGAACAACATAGAACTTCTCAGCCCTCCTCTTGATTGCACGTGGAGTAACTATGTCAATCCAAGAAAGGGTCTGTGCCCACTGGCTCTCCATGGAGACATCTGTAGCTCAGGTACAACCAAGTTTCAGGACAGAGATGTAGGGCTGGAGCACAGCCACTTTATCCTGGGTGTCACACACATTGTTATAGTTTCTGAAACAAACCAGACTGCAGGCTTTCTGGCATTTTAGGAACAGTTTCCCCACACTCCTTTCCTCTCTCAAGAAGTGTGTCAACAGCCAGAAGTGGATTTGAAATGTTTTAGTTGCAGAGAGAGAAAGTCTAAAATAGAATGTGAGTTCCTTTGGCTGATCCAGAAAGTCACTGGAGTATTCCTGCCTCCACAGACATCTGTACAATGGAGATGCTAATGGAGCCCAGGGAGACAAATAATCATTTCACTTGATTTTGTTTGTCTCTCCTTTCTGGTGGACTCTAGTGATAGTCACTGGACATCTGCTTTCAGTCAGTGTCACAGATGGTACATTAGGTCAAACAGCATTACAGGTGGTTTTGGATGTCTCCTTTTGGCATGAAGCATCCTCCTCTGGTTTCCTTGATTGTGGAGCAAGCCCACAGAAACCATCTCAGGTGAAGGGGAGGATGTTCAGTAAAACACACCCTAATTTCCATCTCCAAGAGCCTTGGTAGATACAGTCAGGAGAAGTGTTAGGTACAGCCGAAGGGGGCACATTTGCCCAGACAAACCCTCTTGGATCTGAGCAGAGCAACCCATGCAGTGAGGTCTATATGGACATGAGCCTGTACAGGCTTGAAAGCATCATTCATGGAATACAGGCTCCAGAGCAAACACAGTGCTGAGAGACAGTTAAAGGCAATAGAGAGCAAACATGGGTAGCAGAATAAATTTCCTTCCATCATATGAGCCAACTATAACAAGGCAAGCCACAAAGATGATATTTCTCATCATCAGAAATGACCACTTCCCTGAAGAGCTCATCCGAGTCCCACAGGAGGTGAGAGCGTGTTGGGCTTAGCTACAGAGGAGTCACACAGGGAGATCAAGCAGAGCACAGTTCCTCCCTGGCAGCTAGGGAGATGCAGTGTGAACCCACGGCAGGTGGATCAGGATAGTTCTGTCCCCAAGGAGACTCTCACAGCAGAACTGAGGCTGCCTTCAGCTTTCAACCCTGCGTAGCACCTTGGGAGCACCACTGAAGCTTTGGTGACCTACAAAAGCGGTGGGGATATGAAAAGTCCCGGTTGTCCTGCTAAGGGACTAGGCTGAAGGGGTATTTGAGCAGCGATAGCAGCCTGCCGAAAAGGAAAAGGCAGGGAAAGAACCCCAGCTGGCTGGTGCAGGGTGTACGGGGAGATGCTAACAGGAGCTTGGAGAGCAAATAGCCAAGCGCTGCAAGATGCAGTGGAGACTTTTCAGCACAGATCTGTGCTAGGGAGCCTGCAAGAGAAAGGTGGGTCTCGGAGACCGAAGGAGGCAGCTCCCAAAGAGGCCAAGGGAGTCAGTAGTCACTTTGCACCAGCCTCCCCTTCGAAAGGAGCCCCAAGTCTGCTGCTGTGGCAGAGCGGGAGCAGGAAAAAAAGCAACAGGTCACCCGGCCGGAGCCGGCAGCCTCGGCTCACACTGGCAGCGGTGGGAGCAGCCCCGAGCGAGGCCGGAGCTGCCGCCCGCCCGCCCGCCGGCGCCGTCGGGCTGGACCGAGCGCCGAGCTCCGCGGCTCCACCGAGCCGAGGGGACCGGGGCGCCGCCCGGACGGAGCTGCCCCGCGTTCCCTCGCTCCTGTCCCAGGGGGCTCTCATTGCGGAGCGCTCCAAGTCCCACTAAGCCCCGCACTTCGCGGCCGTTGCGCGACGCCGCCGGCAGCGGAGCGGGACCCGGGCGCTGCAGCCACGGGCGAGCGAGAACCCGGCGGGTTCCGCTGCGCCCCGGGATCGCTCCTCGGCCACCGCTGGGACGCGAGCTCCTGCGGGAGCAGCGTACAGCCCCGCTCCCCTCGCACCGACCGGGACTCGGGTAGGAGCGGGAATGGACCAGGACACGCCGGAGCAGGCGCCGAGGCTGCGCAGGGCCCCGCGGAACCGGTTCGGCGGGACGGACGCTCCCTCTGCGTCCGCTAACCCGGGCCGGAGGCCAGGACCTCGGAGAGCTCCGCGTCGCCGGGACTGGCTCCGGTCACCTCGCGCTCGCCCCAGCCCCGGCTCCGGCCCCGCCTGGACGAGCGGCCCCGACCGGCAGCTTCGCGGCTTCTCCGCCTCGCGGCGCGGACGCGGCGGGAGGAGTTTGTCCTGCGCCTGCGAAAGTTGTGGGCATTGAGGAGCAATGGGGACGTTTCGGAACCGAATGGAACCGGCCCGGTTCTCCGTCTCTGCCCGGCGGAGCAGCCCGTCAGTGCAGCCGTGAGCAGGTGCCCCCCATGTGGCCCCGCCGTCCTGCCGGTCGCGGCCCTGGTCCCGCTCTCCCAGCTGAGGGGTCTTGTCCCACGCTCCCGGCTGCTGGGTCTTGTCCCGCGGAGCTCCGCGCCGCTGCCGCTTCGCAGACCCCGACGGGACCGCTGGCCGAGCCAGGACGAGACCGGGCGGGCAGCGGCGGCTGAGGAGCCCCCGGACGAAAAGCTCCGGGGCTGACGCGGGGAAGATGTGTACGCGGGGCCGTCATTACCTGCCAGGCCGGGAAACGGGTCCGGGAAGTGCAGCGGGGGCTCGGGAGGCCCCTTGTCGCGCCCCGGCGGCAGCTCCTCCGCCTCCAGGCCGTCGGCGCCACGCCGACAGCCGGCGTCGGGGTTGGTGCGCGGCGGTGGCAGCTCCTGCGGTGGGTAGAAGCCGTCGGGGGGCTCCGAGAAGCTGGGCAGTGCCGTGGTGAGCGCCACCATGGAGGGCACGGCCTGGCCCAGGCTGGCACAGAAGGTGTTGGTGAGTCGGCCGGCGAAGGAGGCCAGCGGCGCCAGCGGCGGCAGCCCCGACTGCAGGGGCGCGTGGGACAGCGCCTGCGGCAGCACTAGCGGCCGGTACGGCATGAACATGGGGTAGCCGGTGTAGAGCAGGTGCCCGGAGCGCGGCGGTGGCGTCCCGATGAGCGAGTCGATAGAGAAGGCGGTCCCCTGGCCGCTGGGTCTCTGCATGGCGAGCGGGAGCCGCCGGCTCAGCCGGCACCAACTTTCCGGCGAGCTCGGGCCGCCGCCAACTCGCCGCGCCGCCGCGGCCGCCGCCGCGGCCCCGGCCCGCGCCCGCTGCCGCCGCCCGTGGGCTCCGCGCCCGGCGAGAGCTGCCGCCCGCCCGCGCGCTCGCTGGCTCCGCGGCGGAGTGCAGGCGCGCTCGGAGCCGCGGGGGGGCCGGGCCGGGCCACGAGGGGAGGGGAGGGACGGCAGAGAGGGAGGCGGGCGGGGGTGTCGCCCTCTGCTCTCATCCATCTTCTGCACATCACGGTCCAATTGCTCCTTCAGCGCCCGCGCCGGCGGGGCAGGACTCCTCGCTCCCCCGGTGCGGCCGGCCCCTGGGAAGGCGCCTCCCCCTCCCGCCTCATCAGCTGTTATTAATGGTGATTGATGATTAGCAATTACGAGGCCAGCACAAGGGCGCTTTTGTGGGGCCTGGACGGGACGGGACAGGCTAGGCTCCGCCGCTCGGCACATCCCTCCGCGGGCCTCCTCGGAGTTGCGGCCGCAACAACGGATGGGTCGGGCCCGCTCCACTTCGCTGCCCCTGACTGGGATCAGGCAGTGGCCGGCGTCAGCACCCGGCACGGCGCGTCCTGGGGACCCCGGCACCGGGCGGCCCAAGCGCCCTCGACAACTTATCTTCACCGCAGAGAGTGCCGCGATCCGAGGACTGGGATCGGACCGGACTGGGTCCCTCCACTCGGAGCCACCGGACTCGCCCGGGAGCACCGTCCGCCCCCACCGCGGACCGCTGGCAGGGCCTGGCCGCCCCACTCCGGGCCGCGGAGCTGCGTCCCGGTGCCCACGGCCGGCTCGGAGCGGGATCTGCGCGGGACCGGCAGAGCCGGAGCCGGGCCGAGGAGGCGGCGCTTCCAGCCCCGCTCCGAGCTCCCGCTCAGGCCAAGGTGGCAACGGCGGGACTGGAGCGGGGAGTGAGCTCCCCGCGGCCGGAGCGGGGCTGAGGCAGAGCAGGGCAGGCGGCAGAGCCCCACCTGAGCGGGGCCACAGCCTGAGGAGCTGCCGGTGCTCCTCCGGTGCCGGTGGGGATCATAAGAGCACTGGACAGCTGCTCGTGCCCATGTAGTGCCTGCTCAATAGCCTCAGCCTGCACCGATCCTGTGGCTGGCACACTCGCTAACCAGCCTGCACTGCTCCGGACCTGCACAAAGCCCCAGGCTGCTGCCCCTCCCATCACTTGCCCGTGATGTGTCGAGTGGATGTGTACGTGGACTGTCCATGCAATGCTGCTATCCGCGCAGTGTGCCCATGGATTGCCCATGCAGTGCCTCTGGTTGCAGAGCCAGAGAGGCAGTGCAGGCACAGGGCTCCCAAGCGGCAGCTAGAGCTGCACCATGCTGCTCTGCCCAGTCTGTCTTTAGGACTGTAGCCTGCACCCTGCAGGGAGCCAGCACTCTGAAATGGAGCTTGTCACTGCTCAGCAGCACTTGTGCTGTGCTCCCCTTCTGCAGGAGGAGGAACTCAGGCATGCAAAGTACTAACACAATGAGCAATCCAAAGTCCTGCTTTTAACTAGCATCAGCATCAGAACAGTCACCTCAAGTAGTCAGAAGCTGTGAAATGCCAGAGTTATAAGTCATGTGCCAGCTCACTCAGATCACATCTGCAGCAATACAGCCATGCAGCACCCTGCCAGCACCAGAGATGGTTCCTCTTGTCAGTGGCCCTGGGTGCTCCTGTCTGAAGCACATTGTGCAGGAGTGCCATGCCTAGCCCGGTTTAGCTGCTGATGTCAATGCAGTTCCTGATTGCTTCGTTGCTGATTAGATGCTGATGTCAATGTTCTGGTGGCATTGACATCTATCTGAGTACATAGATTTCCTCACCACCTTTCTCACCTCAAATACCTTTTCAGGAGAGAATCCTGGACTCATCTTCACATGTAGAGCTGATTTAATTCCATCAACGTACTTCATTAGACTGTGAAGTAAATGGATGCATATTTGTGTGCAAACCATTCAGTTTCAAGATCTGTACTCAGAAGTGTCCCATGTTATGCAACTTCCTAACTCCTGAGCAACTGCAATCTGAACATTTGTTCAATTGATCTTTCATATGTAGCCTTCACCCCCACCTCACATCATCGTGTAAGTTGCCAGAGTAGCTCAGAGCGATGGGGAATTGATCTTCTCTGGGACCTTTCAGGGAACCCAGAGAATGAGCTACTGCCAAAGTGCCATGAAGGAGGATTACTCACTCCCAAAGGGGCAGGTCCTTCCTGTAGCCAGGAATGGACACATGGAAGCCCCAGCGGTGAGGAAGGTCCAAGCCAGGAAATCAAGCCGGTGATTCAAGATCAATGTCAGGACATAAGATCAGTCAGAGGGGACACCTGGGCATAGCTCAGTCAGGCACCAAGGGCAAGAACCTGAGCTTGCAAGCAGCCCCCCAGCCAAAAGTCATGCAGGCCTCCACTGAGGTGTCCTGCAGCTGACAGCTGTTGTCCCTGAGCCTGAAAGTCAAACAACCAGGTGAGGGGAGCAGGATCAGGCCCTGGCAAGTGGCCCCACTCTGGTTAGCTTTGTCACATGAAGCTTTGGTGCAAAGAAGGACAGAGGGGTCATTTGCTGGACTGAAGGCTAAGATCCAGAGGAGAATAAAAATGAAGGGCTAAAAAGCAAAGGGCTTACAAACAAAACAAAGCCTAGATTGCAAATTAGTACATACACCGCTCAGGATGCTGTGTGAGAACTCCTAGGTGCAGCAGCTAGAAGTAGCAGCAGCTTTGCAGAATGAACTGGACTGAAAGCGGGGGTGTCCAGGTGACCTGTGATACCCTTACCCGCCTTGAACCTCCAGGGCCTGCTCCTGGTCTGTAGCCTGTGTCTAATGTCCCACTGTGTCCTGCTGTCTGGCCTAAACACAGTTTCCATGGCTTCCACTTCAGGCTCACACCTCTGCTATTCAGGAGACCTCTCCACATTTTGCTGGACACCTTATAAGATACTTGAGGTAAAATGTGCCCCAGCAGAAGGCCTGCTCTTTCCCATCAGTTTTGGAATTCTGGATCACAGCTCTGTGTTTTCCAGATACAGCACTAGGCCTCCTATCACTCAGCTGGAGCATGAATCCTGAACTCAGGTACTGAAGCAATTACAGACCAGTCTCTGCCAGCATGTCATTGCCTGAGTTGGACCTTCTTCCCAGTCTGCCCTTGTTTCCCACTGCCTTTATGTATGTATGTATGTATGTATGTATGTATGTATGTATGTATTTGTTCATGAGAGGTACCGAGGCTTCATCCTCTCCTCTCCTCTCCTCTCCTCTCCTCTCCTCTCCTCTCCTCTCCAAGTGTTTCTTGCTGAAGTCGTGCAGATGTAGGACAGTCGGTGAGACTGTTTGCCTATAGTTCTGGAGCAGGTAGGTGACCCTGGCAAGTACCTTGCCCTGCCACCGGCCAGGATACTGTGTCCTCCCTGATGATGGTGCGTGACCTGTCTGGTCAGCACAGAGCTTCCAGCATGGCTCCAAACTGCTCAGCATAGGCAGAGCTACCAACTTGCAAAATATTCTTGCTCAGTATATTCAAAACGCGGCACAGAGGCTTGTAATTTAGGAAAAATTGGTCACAGGCTGCTAGGCAGAAAAAGAAGCATCCACACAGCCTTCCTTCCTGCACTGTAAGCTGCTACACCAAGGAGGGGACACAATCCAAGGAGGGGACTGTGTGCTCTTTGCCAACAAAACATTTCCCTCCCGCCTGTCAGAAAATGTCTTTTGCTAACTTTGTACAGGAGAGTGTGCCTGTTCGATGGGTGTCCCTGGCACGCACTTGGGAGCTCAGGTCCTGCAGGCCCTGCCTAGAGTCTTCTGGGCTGCAGAAAGCCCTTGTGAACCTGAGAAAAGGAGATGGACCAGGGAGACCCTGAGGTGTTCTGCTGGGACAGGGGCTCACAGAGGTTCCTGCACGAGACAGGCCACTGCTCCTGCTGCCTTCCTGCCAGGCTTCCCAAAGCGATAGGCATGTCCCCAACCCCAAGCTCCGTTCCCCAGCCACGAGGGAAGCTGCTGCAGATGGGTTTTGCAGGGGAAACTGGAGATGGGTCAAATTGACAGCAGGTGAAGGCCCGTGAGGCTGTGCTGCAGGGGCAGCTGCACCCCTGGGTGCTCCGTGCCCGTGCTTTGCCTGCAGGGGCAGCACTGGCACATTAGGGACGATCCATCGTGTTGTGGGTCTGTAGCCCCCCTGGCCTGAGCCAGGGCTGTTTCATAGTGCATAGTCATGCGTGTAGTCCAAGAGCGGAGCCTGTGCTAGTTCTAAGTCCAGCTTCTGTCAACGCAGCTGGCCAGTCTCTAAACCCTTCAAACTTTGAGTAACTGATTTTGTAATATTACCCTTGGGAATAGTCCTAGTAATTCACCTGTCGGTTAAAGAGAGACAAAGGACCAACTATGTTCCTTCTGATTATCCAAATTAATTTTTGCTGTAACTGCAAAGGAAAAAGTCCTTTCTGTCCACCAGTTCACAGCATGGTGAACTGCAACTGCAGCAGGTAAAATTAAATAAACTGACTAGCAAATTAAAGCAGGTCTTTCTGGTGGAAAGTGTCAGGTAACCTTAACTCTTAAGGTAACTTATCCCTTTATGGAAGGTCCAGCAGCCAGGACAGGAAGCAATTAAGGCAGGTGCCATCTCCCTTTGTCCTTCCCCTGCCCCAGGCCTTGCAAATGAGGCAGAAATTACATAGAAGGCACCCTTGAAGCACCCTCATTCTCATGGTGGCAGGTCTATGGAGCAGCACGCACACCATGGCCCAGGCCTTGCTGTAGAGTGGTGTATGTCACATTCTTGCCCAGGGGTCCAGCCTCTCCTGAGATCCCTCCTGGTTCCTGCACATGGTTTGCATTCACAGCACAGACAAGCAAGTCCAGCACAGACTGTTTTACTGTCACATCAGAGCTCCTTAGCACCAGCACTGACACACCAGACCCAGGTCACCCTCATG